GAGTGCCCCAAGGCCTTCAAGGGTTCGTCAGCACTGCTTTACCACCAGCGCAGCCACACAGGTGAGCGCCCCTACAAGTGTGCTGACTGTGGAAAGGCCTTCAAACGCTCGTCGCTGCTGCAGATCCACCAGAGCGTGCATACGGGCCTGCGCGCCTTCAAGTGTGCTCTGTGCGGCATGGCCTTCAAGTGGTCATCACACTACCAGTACCATGTGCGCCAGCACACAGGCGAGCGCCCCTACAAATGCACGTTGTGTGAGAAGGCCTTCAAGAACTCATCCAGCCTGCGACGCCACCGCAACATCCACACGGGTGAGCGCCCCTATGTCTGCGCCGCCTGCGGGAAGGCCTTCACCCAGTCCACCAACCTGCGGCAGCACCAGCGCATCCACACAGGCGAGCGACCCTACCAGTGCACCGAGTGCCCCAAGACCTTCACCCACTCCTCCAATCTGCTGTTGCACCAGCGCACCCACACCGGGGGCCGGGCCCACAAGTGCCAGGCCTGCGGCAAGGCCTTCATCTCGGACGCCTACCTGCAGAAACACCTGCAGACACATGCGGCCAAGCCACTGGCACCCTACGGCGAGGCGGAGCTGGCCTGCACGCCGGCCGAGCTCTTCCTGGCTCCGGCCGAGCCAGTAGAGACGGTGGAGATGCTGTGGAAGTGTGGGGAATGCGAGTTGACCTTCCCCAGCGAGGAGCTGCTGCTGGGCCACCAGCAGAGCCACCTGACCCCCGCTGCGCCCGCTGAGCTGCCCATCCCGCCACTCTACTCCTGTGCTACCTGTGGCAAGGCCTTCAAGAATGGCTCGGGCCTGGCACGCCACCAGCACAGCCACGTGGGCGAGCGCCCCTACAAGTGCTCCATCTGCGAGAAGACATTTGTGCAGCTCTCCAGTCTGCTGGGGCACCAGCGCAGCCACCCGGCCGAGCAGCAGCTCATCCAGGCTGAGGCCGAGGTCACCTGTCCCCAGACCGCAGCTGAGCCGGTCCCGCCCCCCGTGCCTCCAGAGGTGGCTGAGCGCCCCTACAAGTGCACCGAGTGCGGCAAGGCCTTCAAAGGCTCATCGGGGCTGCGCTACCACCTGCGTGACCACACCGGCGAGCGCCCCTATAAGTGCTCGGAGTGTGGCAAGGCCTTCAAGCGCTCCTCACTGCTGTCCATCCACCAGCGTGTGCACACCGGCCTGCGCGCCTTCAAGTGTGCCGAGTGTGGCCTCACCTTCAAGTGGTCGTCACATTACCAGTACCACTTGCGCCTGCACACAGGCGAGCGTCCCTATGGCTGTGCCGACTGCGGCAAGGCTTTCAAGAACACCTCGTGCCTGCGGCGGCACCGCCAGCTGCACACAGGTGAGCGCCCCTTTGCCTGCCTGGTGTGCGGCAAGGCCTTCACCCAGACCTCCAATCTGCGGCAGCACCAGCGCACCCACACAGGCGAGCGCCCTTACAGCTGCCAGGAGTGTGGCAAGAGCTTCACCCACTCCTCTAACTTGCAGCTCCACCAGCGCACGCATTCCAGTGAGCGCCCCTTCAAGTGCTCCATCTGTGCCAAGGGCTTCGTCATGGCCTCCTACCTGCAGCGCCACCTGCGCACCCATGCCACCGAGGCCAAGGGGGAGGGCCCGGCCCCAGGCCTTCCTGCCCCACCTGCCACCCAGGAGGTGCACATTGTGCCCAACCTGCAGGCCACCCTCAACCTGGAGGTGGGCACCGCCCCCAGTGCCCCCAACTCGCAGACCTTCCTGCTGGTGCAGACGGCTCAGGGGCTGCAGCTCATCCCCAGTGTCCAGCAGAGCCCCCAGAAGCTGCTGCTTCTGCCCAGCCCGCAGCTGGTGCCCACGCAGCAGAAAGTGCCCATCCTCCAGAATACGCCCAATTTCACACTGGTGCCCAGCAGCTCTGTGGCCCCAAGCAACCCTGCCCCACGCCAGCAGAGCAAGGGTAGGAAGCCGGCAGCACCTGGCAACCCCCAGAACATTATCCTGGTGCCGGGAGGTGGGCCGGCGTTGCCCAGTGTGCAGATCCAGGCGCTGCCAGGCACACAGCGGGCACCGGTCCTCCCGGCTGGCCAGAACATCATCGTGCTGCAGAACGTGGCTGAGCAGCCCCCTGCAGAGGTGTCTGGTGTCCGGATCCAGGCTCAGCCTCAGGAGGTGGCCAGCATCCAGCTGCAGGCCCTGCCACCACCCCCTGCTGAGGCATCCAGCATGCAGGCTCTGCCTCAGCCCCCGGAACTGGGCAGCATGCAGCTGCAAACCCTGACACAGCCTCCCCCAACAGGGGGTGAGGAGCAGCCCCTGCCTTGCTCCTCAGCACTTCCGGGCACGGTGGGTTCCGGGCCAGAGGTGTCGGGCCTGCAGGAGAGCCAGGACCTGCTGGTGGTGCAGAGCGGGCCAGGGGAGGAGCTGCTGGGGTCGGGTGGCGAGGTAGGTGTGCATCTGGAGACACTTCAGACAGAGGAGGGGGTGCAGAGCGTGCTGGTGCTGCGTGGCGCTGACGGTGAGCAGACCCGACTCTGCGTGCAGGAGGTGGAGAACCTGCAGGAACTGCCCCCAGACAGTGGGGTGGGGGGCCTGGCACCATCCTCAGGGCAGAAGCTCTTCATCATTCGCAGCGCACCTGGTGAGCAAACCCTGCAAGTGCTGGAGAATGTGGGCTCTGGCAGTGGCATGGTGCGGGGGGGGGCACCTGGTGGGCAGTCCTCCACCACCAGCACCCAGATGATACAGCTGCTGCCAAGCCCAGTGCCACCCCCACAGGAACTGTCCTCCATCCAGATCGTGCAAACGGTGCCCAGCGTGCAGCTGGTTCACACCTTCTGAGCACCTGGCCGCAGACGCCAGCCGGAGGGTGTGCAGCTTGGGTTGGCATCGCAGGATCTGCCAGAGCTCTTGCTCCCAGTGGGCATCCCCCACCCCCATTGTCCTGCCCGTGCAGCCTGGAGACAGCGGGATGCCCCCACATGATGACCTTCATGGGCAGCAAGCTGTGGGACTCGTGCAGGCAGCCTAACTCTGCTTCGCCCTTGCTATCCTGGCTGCAGCCTCCTGGGGTGCAGGGCTGGTGTCTGTGCCGCAGTCAGAGCCACGCTGGCATCAGCTGTGCTGGGACAGGATTGCCCAGCAGCGCTGTGATCTTGGAAGGGCAGGGCCTGGCACAAAAGGAGCCCTTTGCCCACCCCATGGCGGGGTCAGCGTAGTGAGCTGAGCAGGGCCCTCATCCATTGCCATTTCCTGACACTCCCCCATGTCAGGCCTAAGGACAGTGACAGATACTCCTGTCTGCTAGTTAAAGCACAGGCCTGGGAGCCAGGATTCCTGGGTTCCGTCCCTGGCTCTGGGAGAGGAGTGGGGTCTAGTGGTTTAAGTGTATGTGGGGCGGGCAGGAGGGGGAATGGTTTGGGAACTAGGACTCCTGGGTTCTCTTGGGGACTGGGTGACCCTGAGCAAGTCCCTCCCTGGCTGTGGCGTTTTCACTGCTGTGGGTCGGGGCCAGCACTCAGGGCTGGGAGGCTGAGTGCATGAATAAAAGTCGGGAGCTCTGCAATCACCAGGTGAGGGGAGCAGCTGGCACTTGCCACTCCACAGGGGTGAGGGGTTCCCATGGCTCTGGCAGGCAGAAGACTGGCATGAGAGCAACTGCCACCTCCTGTACCCCTGTCCTGGCAACCAGGTAATACCTGCTTCCTGAAGCCCTGGCCTCCTCTGTAGGCAGAGCACCCCCAGTCTCTTCCAGAGCCCACTGTGTATGATGGCGCCTGGCGCTGTCCCAGGGGGTGTGGCTCCTTCAGTCTAGAAGGCAAATAAATGACTGCTTCAAAAGCGCCTCTGTTTGGTTTGTTCAGTGCATGGGGACGCAGCCTCACCTCCACCAGTATGTGCTCAGACACAGAGATGGGTCCCTGTGCTGGAGCAGCTGGGGGAGAGGGGCCCAGGGACCTGCTGGGCCTGAGGAGTGTTCATCAGATAATTCTTGTGCTGGGGGCTGTGGAGCTTTGCCTCAGCAACGCAGCAATCAGTGCTGGTCAGTCAATCAATGCCCCAGGATGGTGCTTGGGGGCCTGTACTGCAGAGAGGGGGGCGGGGCTCAGCAAGGGCCCCTTTGCCCCCCATATCCTGCACTGTATATTTGACTCCTGAATATGTGTTGGGTGGGGCCTGCCTGTTGGGTCACTGGGTCCAGCTCGGCTTGTCCCCTTGCTCACTGGTCACCAGATCTGGCTTGGCTCACTCGGTCCAGCTCAGCTCGCTCATTGGTCATTGGGTTTGGCTCAGCTTGTCCCCTCACTCGGTTACTGGGTCTGGCTCAGCTCACGCACTGGGTCCGGGTTGCCGCTCATTGGTTGTTAGATCTGGGTCAGCCTCACACCGGGTCACTGGATCCAGAGTGGCTCGCCCTCTCACTCATTGGTCACCAGGTCCCCCTGGGCCCAGCTTGGCTCACCCCCTCGCTCAATAGCCACCAGGTCCCGCTTGGCCTGCCAGCCAAATCACTGGGTCTGTCTCGGCTCGCCCCCTCACTCATGAGTCAATGGGTCTGTCTCGGCCCACCCCCTCACTCATGGGTGTGGCTCAGCTTGCCCCCTCACTCATGGGTCAATGGGTCTGGCTCGGCC